ATTTACACAATCCTTTCATGAACAATACAGTAAAAGGGCACCATCAGCCTAAGGGGAGGGAATGCTTTATAAAACTCCTATACAATAATATAAAACACCCTGAAGTTATTACAAAATACATAAGAATTCAGGAGAGGAGTAATTGTAGCATCTTGTATCAATAATCAACATAAGTCTTTAATTAATTCATTAATTAATTGTAGTCAACAACATGTATAACAGACCCCAGTCCTAGGAAACTCCAGGCAGGGTACAAGAAGGTTTAATTTAAGTATGCCATAACATAAGAATGTAGGTAAGGCCTATTTAAATTTACTAATTGTACAGCATGTCCGTTTGGAAAACCTTTAGAAAATAATCAGCTTACACACATTTACTCAGAGGAATGCATGACTGTATGAAATAAAGCTTGTTCAAAGAAAACTGTACTTAGATTTGGAGCCTAAATTTTGTCCTGGTGCAAAAGTTCTTTTGTTGCATCGAATTAGATTAAAACAAGTAAGTATCAATTATCAGTGTAAATATAAAAGTTATATATTATAATTGTGTCTTTTGAATTATTGGTAATTTGTCACCATAAATAGAGGCTCAAACATGTGGGCATCTGCCTTTATCTGGTAAGATGATAATTTTATTTACTAATGATTTGAGTCACTGAACTTTATTTCTGATTTTATTAAATGTATTCTTAAAATTATTATGCCTAATGTAAAGCCCCATTTTGTTTCTGAAATTATGCTGCAAAAAACCCAGAATAAAATAAAATAACCTCTCTTATGGATAATTAAATTGATCCAGTGGGACTAGAGTCACCACATAAGTCAGATTAATTTGTCCAGACAAAAACAAACAAGAGTATTCCACATAAATATCTACTACAAATTGAACAGAATGAGAAATATCATTATACAGGGTCTATTCTTTGCAACCGTGTAAGCTGAGTGCTGTTGGAATCATCCATTTATAGCCAATATGTATTTAAAGACAAGTTTTCTTAAGGTCACCCATTAAACAGACAACATACAGAAACAAAACAGTAGTCCACAACACTTGTGGAATCAAAGAATTTCAAGACTCTCCAGGCTGAAGAGTGCAACCACCAAACTATAATGCATCTTGAAACAAATTATTGGGATATTGCTGTGCTGGCTTCAGAGTGACCATCATTTGACTCTGAATGTCTAGTTAGCTAGTTGTTATGGAAACATTTAAGTTCATATTTCCTCTATACACTTAACCCAGTCAGCCACTAACTCAGTCAAGCAGTAGAACCCAGCAGTGGCTCTGCAGGGCTCCATGACACTAAGTGGGGATTTGAGCATAGACAGTCCCAAGTATTTTTTTTCCCAGAAAATGTCTATTATCCCATGAGCCCTTCTGCCAGGAGAGCATTGGCAAGGCTTTATATGTAGTATTATAGCCCCTTCCCCATTGGCTAGGCTGGACTAGTAGATGCTGCTTGTCTACTGAACCCACTCAAAGTTTGTGACATGTATTCTGGTGCCCATCCTTAGCAATGAAGTCTATAATGGTGGCTTGTTTTTTCAGCTCTTTTTCATTTATTTATTTGTGTGTGTGTGTGTGTGTGTGTGTTCTTCCAGAAGAACACTAGCTCCATGTGTATAAGGAAGGTCCATAATGCCTGGACAACATTTTGCAAAGTACCAATCAAGTATTATGTGGGCAAATGCCACTGTGGAAGCCAGGTGCCCAATTTCCCCAGCAGTTGAAGCCAAAATGGCCATGGAGACCAGTTAGTTCCCAGTGAGCAGAGTAGACAGGTGTGCCTGCAGCAACCAAAAGTGGCCAATGGAAGCTGGGCAGATCCCAGTCCCAGATTTTATCATTGCCAATATTGTTAATGAGATGTTGAACTTGAGTCACAAAAATACTTCTTCAGAATTAGAACAGCTAAAGATGAATATAAGCTACTTTACACCCTCTTCTGAGGATGAGATGAAGGCTGTGTTATGAGGACATATCCTCTATAAGTGGGTTAGTAGGCATCTTTATGGTGTGGTTAGTGGGCCATGAAGATGAGTCCTTAGTTTAATAGTGTACAACTGGATTTTTGGAGGGTTAAATTTCACTCCCTTGGAGGTTAGTTGACTGAGTCAATTATCCCTTTTTTGATGTTTCCCAACCACATCGGTCCATTTTATAGATCATATACCATAGTGATGTATAATGCATCAATGCTGCTAATACTTTCTGGCTAGGTATTTCAACATGGCCCTGTCAATGTCCTTAATACAAGAATGAGAAAAGGACAGGGAGGCCTAATACCAAGCAAATAAGACTGCTATTAAGCCACAAAAGGAGCTGCATTGGGAGATTCCCTTAATGGAAATAGATATCTGAACTGCTAAAAATAATAACGAACAGTTACATTCTTGGGGGGATGTAAAGAAATCACAATGGCTGGGTTCACACAATACATTAAACCAGTGTTGTCCAAACTTGGCCACTTTAAGATGAGTGGACTTCAACTCCCAGAATTC